GTTGTTGAAACCATTATATTTTCCAGTGTAATTAGTATCAATGTTTTAGCTTTATCTTATAATTTTGTTGATGTTCTAATTATTAACTCTAGCGTGATGATTGTTCTTATCGTCGTTAGTGATATCATGATAATTATGTTCTCTAATTCATGATGTTATCAGTCACTATTATTATTATTGTTGTCAATAATATCAACATCAACTTCAACATCAGTATCAACGTTAACGTAAACATTCACGTTAACGTTAAGGTTAATATTAACATTAACATCAAAAATCAACATAAGATAAAGATAACATAAACATGATATCATCATCATCATCACCATCAACATCATCAACACCATCTATATCAACATTAACATCATCATCATCATCGTCATCGTCATCGTCATCGCCATCATCATCATCATCATCATCATCATCATCATCATCGTCATCGTCATCATCATCATCATCATCATTATTATTATTATAATGCGTTGATGATGATGTTAGTATTATTATTACAAATTACTATTATTAATGTTGTTTTTGTTTGTATTATTATCATCATCATCATTATCATCGTCCTCACCGTTGTTATTGTTGTTATAATTATTATCATTAATAACATTATTATTTTCTTATCATCCCCATCATTGTCATTATATAATGATTATTATTATCATTACTATCATCATCATTGTTCTTATTATTACTATTATTATCATATTATCATCATCATCATCATCGTCATCATCATCATCATCATCATTATCCTCATCATCATCACCATTCTCCTCATCATCATCATCTTCATGATCATCGTCATGATCATCATCATCATCATCGTCATCATCATCATTATCATTATTGCCATCATTAACATCATTGTTATTGTTATTATCACAATCGTTATCAGTCATCATGTTGGCGATATATACACCTGCAAAAGATCTCAAGTCGATATTTTATTTTCCAAACCCTCAGAATCTTTCTTATCTTCCTGTAAAAGATTCAAAGTCGATATATTTCTGTTATTTAGGTTTTGGAGACTAAATATATAGTCTATAATGGTTGTCAGGTTAATATATATGGCATTATTATAATTGTGGTTATTATTTTACTACCATCATTATGATCTAATTATCATTCATAGTTTTTTTTTATATCATTAATGACTGTGTTGTTATCGTTGTTATTGTTATTATCATTATGATTATCATCATCATCATCATCGTCGTCGTCGACGTTTTTGTACAGCTCTAACTTTTATCATTATCATAGTAATTAATATTGTTATTTTGGGTATAATCATTATTATCAGAGTCATGAATTATTTCTGTAGTTATAATTGGTTATTATTAACGATTTTAACATTAATATTTTGAATACCATTAGCATTGGTTGTAGTATATTATCGTTATTATCATTACTTTTGTTATCATCATTATTATTATTATTATTATCATTATCATCACTATTATTATCAAGGTGATTATTATTGTTGTTGTTGCTGTTGTTGTTATTATTATGAATATGATTATTATCATTATTATTATGATAAGGATGGTGATTATTATCACTATCATTATCATTATTATTATCTTTATTGGTAGTAGTAGTAGTAGTATCATTTTTATTATTATTATGATAATTCTTAATAGTAATATCATCAATATCATTTTTATTGTTGGTGTAGCATTTGTACTTGCTATTGTTATTATTTTCTTGTTATTATCATATCATTATCATTATTTCTGTCATATTACACTTACTGTTACTGTTATTATTCAACATTTTAATACTATTAGAGTTAATTTCTATTGCTGTTGCAAGTAATGTTAATCCTATTGTTCTTATTATAATCTCGCTTATAAGTGTAGTATTAACATAATCATTATGGTAGTAATAATTCCATAATAATCACGTTTAACATCTATCAACACATTGCTATTTACGTTTTTTTTATTTGTGTATATTTTCACCGTTTTTCGTTTCTTCATATCTTAGTGATCATCAGTTACATGTCAGATTTGATTATTCAAGATGAAGTTAACGAGTGAAAACATTTTTATAAGGATGTTATAAGGTGTGTTAAAGACATTTTATAAGGATGTTATAAGGTGTGTTAAAGACATTTTATAAGGATGTTATAAGGTGTGTTAAAGACATTTTATAAGGATGTTATAAGGTGTGTTAAAGACATTTTATAAGGATGTTATAAGGTGTGTTAAAGCACCATAATCGTGGGTTTTTCCGAATTGAAGGTTTTAGTCATGTATTCCCCGGAAATGGAGTGAGCCTTGGCCTTATCTCAAGACAGGAGAATATATTCTTGTGTAATCTCCCGCATGGGAAATATATATCATTGTCTATCTCATGAATCGTGTATCACTATGAAGTATATCTTAGGGAGATATATTTTGGCTGCGATGCGATGCGTATCTTAGGTTATATGTGGTAAAAAGGCCCCGCGGGGATGCGTCAGGGGAAATATCCGGTTCAAATTCCCCGCCATCGCGCACGTCCAGACGCCCTAGAACGCACATCCTCTGCGCTCCTCGTCCGCCCCGAAAACTAGTTCCCCCTCCCTTCCCCCGTGTGTCCTCCCTTTTCCAGCGCATCGCCGCCTCAGAATAAACCCGCAACGGCTCCAAAAGGCCTTAATTAGCCCCCGATATGCAAAACGGCCGAGCCCTCCCTCCGACGGAGATGTGCCAAGTGTCCGAGCGGCGGGCAGCCCTTCCCTCCTGCAGGCCCTATTTTGCCCCTCGCCCACGCCCGCCACGCCGCCCACGAGCCCCGCCACCCCGCGCGACCCCCACAGGCACAGGCGAAGGCACGGCGGAGGCAAGCAGGCCGTCGGACGAGGCGAGGCCCTGCGACGTGGCAGCGCCGCGGAGTGTAATGGCAGGGAGGCCGTCCGCCCGCACGCCCGCTTAGCCTCGCGTTCCTCCTCGGCGCCCGAGCTGGCCTCTGCGCCTCGCCAAGGGACAGGTACGGGCGGGGAGGCCAGGGCTGTGTGCGCGGGGGGGAGGGACACTTTGGGAGGTTGGCCAGGCTCTCTATCTCTATCTCTCTCCCTCGCTCTCTCTGTCTCTCTCCCTCTCTGTCTCTCTCTATCTCCCTCTCTCTTTCGCTTCCCCTTATCACACTCTTATTATGGTTAGTTTTTTTCTTCTCTCTCTCTCTCTCTGTCTCTCTCCTCGCTATTTTTTCTTATTTTGCGTGTGTACGTCAGTGGTGTTTGGTCCTCGTGGTGTGTGGAAAGACGGAACTGGATAAAGGAAGGAAGAACAAGAAAACAAGAAAAATGAGATTATTATTCACCTTTTTTTTATTATTATTACTCTCTCTCTCTCTTGATCTCTATCTCTTCCTGTTTTCGTTGTTTTCGTAGACGTGTGTGAAGGAAAAATGTGAATAAATATTAGACACAAAAAAAACAAAAACAATAATATTTGTGTTTGTTTGTGAAAGCTTGTGTTTGTGATTTTTTTTTTTCTATATTTAATAAACTCTTAAGAACCTGGAAGTTGTTTGTTTTTAAGTGTTTTGTTTATATTTCTGTTTTTGCTGTTTATTTACGTGTGTTTATTTTTGCATGATTTTCTCTTTTTTTTTTTTTGCATTTGTCAGCGTCGGGTTTTTCTTCCCTCGTTTGTTTTGTTTGTTTTTTTCCTCATCGTTGTGAGTGTTAATTATGTGGTTCGTTGTCTTTGTCATTATTGGTGTTTATCATTTGTCTGTCATTTATCATTTATCATTTGTCATGAGTTCTTGTTCCAATATTATCTGTCGTTCTCTCTCCTTTCTGTCTTTTCGTCGACGTTTGTTTTCCCTCTTTCTATGTCTTATCGATGCTTATCATTTGTCTGTCATTTTTCATTTGTCATGAGCTCTCGTTCCTGTTTTATTTGTCTTGAGGTCTCGTTCCAGATTTACTTGTCGTTTTCTCTCCTTTCTGTATTTTCGGCGTCGTTTGTTTTCCCTCTTTCAATATCAGCAGGTGGGGTTTTCGATGTATTTGTTGGTTTGGCTTTCGGGATTTTTATTTTAGGGGAAACGGGTCGAAGGTTCGGTGTATTTTGGTTTTCGAAAGAGGTTTGACGTTTGTGTCCTTGTTTGACCCTTCGTTTTTTCCGTATTTATGCTCCGTTTGTTAATATTTCTTGTTCTTGCTTTCTTTCAGTAATTGGATTACTTAAAAGATCATTACTAGGGATTATAATTAAAGCCGTGTATTAATGTAGCGAACTTTATCAGATTTCTTATCATATCTCATATCTCATAACAGCTGTATTGCTTTTTAGAATTTGGCATGAGCTCTGCCACAGTCTTATGATAGTAGGTACCTGATAGTGTCACGTTGCCATGCAGTTGCCACGGCCGACTCGTGATTTGTTGGAGCAGAGGGCAGCAGATATCTATTATTCGCATTGGTTTTGAAATAGGTCCCTTGTGGAGGATAAATCGCCATTGGGGAGTAGGAGAGATAGGGAATTTTTTCCGTGATATCTGCGTAGGATTGAGTATGTTTATGGAATTCATTGATATAACGTTCAGTATAGCTGTGATTTCTGATGGTAAGGTATGTTGTTGCATTTGTATGATTATAGGATATTTTACATGATTTAATTTGTATGTCTAAATGATAAATTGATTTTGCAATAAGTTTTGTCATCAGTATAGCAGTTTTGACGTTTATTATGTTTGATTTTAAAATGATGGCTGAAGATGTTTATACATAGTAATAATTCAAAGTTGTCTGTTGATCAGAAATTTCCCTGTAGATAATTTTATCGGACTGAAGGAGTTGCATCAAAAGACCTTGAGAATTACAGGACAAAGGTAAATAAACTGACAAGCAAAATAGACATAAAAACGGAACTTTTTCACACAACTCTCTCATAAAATTGTGAAATGAAATACACAACAGACCTGATATAGACTTTGGATTGTATTACATAGAACATGAGGTATGTTGTAATTGAGAATATTAGTAATATAATAGA